TCTGGTAGAACAGCTCGTGCTTGTGCAGTACTGAGTTCAAATCGGGGTATAATGGCAACAGCTTTGATGCTGCTGTTCCATTTAAATCGGACGTAGTGGCCGATACCCAACGGTTGGAACAGGTGGGGAAAGACCCCAGTCTTCTCCAGCATCAGGCGGGTATTCCGGCAAGACTTCAGAGAGGGGTACTTGTGCTGCTTCAGTAGCTTGTGGGTCTAGCTCTCTAAGGTATGATCCCACAAATCCTCCAACAAGCGCAGCTGTCACGTTGTCGGGGTGGCGCTCGACCATGAGCGCGTAGTCTAACATTCGCTCTCGGGAAAGGTTGAGTTTTCCGAGACTGTCTCCGAGGAGAACGCCTGCAATGACCGCTGCACCGGACGAGCCAAGTCCGCGTCCAAAAGGTATTTGGTTGTGGCAGTGAATACTAAGGTCGGGAGGGAATGTTCTATGGCCATTACAACGTAGCACGTAGAGTGCTACACGAGTCATGAGGTTGCGGTAGGGGTCTAGCGGGACTTCGTCGGTCCTTCACCCGAATATGTGATCACTGGTAAGGTAGAGGTCTCCCCGATGGTGACAGTGAGAGTGAGATAGAGTGAAAGTGACAAGCCGACAACATCGAAACCAGGACCAATGTTGGCCGAGGTTGCTGGAACTCGTATGATAAACGAGTTGGTCATGTCCGAGTCAGTGATAAACTATATATGATGGGTAAGAAAAGATCTGGATGCATTATAAATAGATCTGCAGACCTTATACGTAGAAGAAGCGGAGGGAGCTGATCGTCGACAAAAGCCGGCGAAGGGAGTTTTTCAAGTCAATATTATGATCTGGCAATTGCGGCCGATCAAAAGATCACTTTGGTTTGTTTGGATCTAAGGCTTTTGCCAAACAAACGCCTCGACTTACATAATCTTATGATAAAGGGAAAAATATTTCGTATCATAGAATCCACACTTGGAGAGATTCAGAGGCTGATGTGGCTATTGCATAGTAACTTGACCCTTCTGAACTCGCTACTAAAGCTATCAACTATCTTTTCTGGAAGCCTCTGATCACTCTGAGCTCGCCAACCAGTGAAGAAATCACTTTCCTCCATTAAATTACTATTGCCGTGTGCATAAAAATCAAGACTGGGGAGACCCTTGAACCCGAACCACCACCACGGTCGGATTTTCCCACGCATGAAAATGCTGGCAAGGTCGAGCAAACCATGCTCACAGCGAAATACTGGCCCATATCACATCACACACCACTCCTCACATGATCGCAAACATGCAATATACAAACCAAATCTACCCTACCACAAATGAGGTACAGCTTAGAAACCAGCCTACGCAAAATATCACCTGCCAACCCCAACCCAGAAATCACAACACAAGGTACTCACCACGAACCACCTACCATCCGTCTCTATTACGCCTAGAATGCCAAGAAAACACAGCCCAAACCTGAGTAAAGAACGAACCCCCCTGAAATGAAAAACCTGCACCCCAAAGCTAAAACACGAGGCCAACACACACCCCTCGTCTAACTCTCCACCACGCAAAGTCCACTTAAATTGAGTAAAAGAACACTAAGAAACATCAAATCCCTAAGCGCACCCCCATTAAACTTAACCCTCGCCCCCTAAATACTCCAGACATCAACTCAAGACACTCATTAATAGGTAATAAAACACAGCTCACCTCGAGTTCCCTCCCGAAACTGCATGTCTCCTTCTGAGCCCGAGTCCAAGCCAAACCGTATAAATATCTCCCACTCACAAAACTAAATCCCCGCCCCCCCAGGTAACATGAAAGAGATATCTAGCATTAAGTCGTTGGCAACTGCCGCACGCCCTAACCCTCTGGGCATCCGACCTCCATCTAGAGCAACCCAGGTGGCCCAATCCATTTCCCCCCTGACCTCCTTGAAGTAGACAACGATGATTCTATGGCCCCCCCTCCCCCTGTTGGAGACGCTGACCACGCCGTCCCCGCCAGACACCCCAACACCCACGCCAAAAAATGACGGCCTGCAGCTACCCACCCACACCACAGAATCGTCTACCTACGTCCCTCCCCCACTGGACAAAGAAGAAATGGAAGAACTCCCCGATATCATCCTTCCTTCCCTCCCCCCCCCCCTCATGGAGGACAGAGAACAATGTTATCACACCCTACCCTCCCCCACTCCCGTTCTCCCCCTCTGCGCCAGAGACCTCTGAGGAAGAAGATCTCCGTGCTCAACTTGAAGTCGCTGAAACGAATAGATCCATTATTCGTGTCCACGCCCCCTCCGCACCAAACACCATGCCCTACTTTACCCCCACCCCCGAAGGCGGGTTCCCTATAATCCACCTCTCACATGCCGCCTCTCCATTCGACCACATCGATCATGAAATCATTAATGCATGGATCCAGGTCGGAGACCCCAAGTTTCTCGTCCGTGTCTTCGACTATGACGGAAAAGACATGAGAACATGAACACGGTCATCACCCAGTGCATCCGCAACTCAATTGCAGAGATCGTGAAGACCCACAACCTGGGCCCTATCAACGTGCGAGTTTGCCCCCCCCTCCCCCGCCAACAGTATAAACGCCAAGGAATTCCCCAAAACATTTTTAGTCTTTGACATCCAAATGGAGGGTGATGAACATGGTCATCCACCAATGCATCTGGTACCAGCCAAGAGATCACGATTGAAGCCCACCCCTTCATATCCCGCGAACTACCCACTACATTCTTTTGCCTTAATGGATTCACCCACAACTAATGAGAATTGTGTAAGGAAAGCTGTCTACGATACCTGGACCTCCCCACAAGTCCTGGGGAACATAGTTGTAATCCTCGAAAAGAGTGAAATCCCCCTTGACAGATGCTATGACGCAGCCATGTACCTCTGCGACTCCATCTCAGTCGAATTCATCGACTCAAAGGGCCGAAGGCCATCTCACTCCCACACTTTACATCTACGCAAAATGTCCATCCAACAGACCCAAAATCTGGACGAACCTTGGAGCTACCTTGATGACCATCCACTACCCCACCCCCCTCGATGGCAAAGGGCATTGCCATCCCCTTCACTACATGCAGCCTCTGCCATGCCATTGGCCACCCAAATGGCTTATGCAAGTTCCCAGACCTTCCCCTTGGAATGGTCCCAAACACAAGAACAAATCAGCCAAGTACACCCCAAAAGTGCGGGGGAAAGGGAAAGATGCATGCAGAGTCTAACCACGACATGTGGTTCCACCCCTACATACAATACTCATCCATATCACCACCAACGTAAATATACAACTCACCTATCCCACCAGTCTGCTACTCATGTCGAATAACAACTGCTGAATGTCACCCCCTTTTTTGACTGAATCCCCACACACCGAAATAAAACAACGGGGAAGGAAAACGGAATGCCCGAAAATAGTGTATTGAACCTGAAAAGGCTTTACACTAACGATCTTGAGCATACCGTCAGATCTACACAAGAGCGAGGATAATGTGTAGGAAACTACAAGACTGTCCCTGCCCCACATATACTGACCAGGCATGCAGGACAGGAAAGCAGCACGGTCCATGTCTCCCCCCGGCATAAGCCAAACACAGAGGCCTATTGAGGCCAGGAGCGAGCCGTGCCGAGAGGCTGAAGTCCCTGTCAAAGGGCGGGGATGGAGCTTCGGGCCCCCCCACCCAATACCTGACATAGTTTCACTGTTAATTGGCCAGGATATGTCAGTTCTACACCTTTGTCATGATTGTATGAAAGGACTATTACCACGATCACCAACAAACCAACACCACCTTCTCCCCTCCCAATACGGTAATGTCACTGGCCTCAGCACACACCTCCCAGAGAACAGAGGAGGGCCCACCTTGCGCCACTGGGAGACCCTCCTATGATGTTCCCCGGGAGTTCAGAAGTGGACCCCCACAACAAAGACTAGAGGCTCAGCAAACACTGAGCCAACCCTCGCAGGGATTCACGCACAACCAAACAACAACCGAAACATAAACGAGCAACAACAAGTTCTAGCCCAACCCCATACATCAATACCTAAGAAGAAAAAAACGAGAGCAACATACTAATTGGTACCCTCAACATCAACAGGCGTGCTTCGAGCACCCTAGGATCAGGACAAATATCTAAATGGACAACAGTCAACCAAATAATGCGTGAAAAAAGAATAGGCATACTTTGCCTTCAAGAAACCCCACCTCATGAATGAACATGAAAACCAAATAGCAAACCTCTTCTCAAGGAGACTGCTTCGTACTAAACTCTAGTGACCCCTGCTAGACCAGGTAGCTCAGCTGGAGTCGCCTTCGTAATAAACAAAGAACTCACCACCGCCGACGAAGCAAAAATGACAACACTTATACCAGGCCGTGCCGCAGCTCTAACCATAAGATGGCATAACGAAAAAAACAATAACAATACTGAACATATATGCACCGAACGGCACAAGTGAGCACCCGTCCTTCTGGGAAAAAGTAAGAGCAAAATGGAACGAATAAAATTTAAATAACCTAGACTTCCTACTAGGAGACTTCAACCTCACCAAAGACCCGATAGATAGGGCTCCTGCATGACTTGATAACGAGAACGCTATTGAAGCATTGAGAAATTTCAGAACAGAAATGTGCCTGCAGGACACATGGCAAATGACCCACCCAAATAAATGTATGTTCACCTACACCAGCGGTAACTTATCAATGTCGAGACTAGATCACATATACACAGCGAGCAACCATGAAGAGAGTATAACAGACTGGATCACAGAAATAAGCAAAGTACCCATGGACCATAAACTAGTACTAACCCATTTTGCCCCCCCAGGCCTCCCACATATTGGGAAAGGTCGTTGGACATGGCCAATCAGCATCCTAACAGACGAAGACCTATTAAAAAGGATAAATGATATCGGCATGGAAGCACAAAACACCATCGAAAACGCAAATGCCCACGAAGGACAAACCAACATACAAGCCACCTGGAAGGAATTAAAATCCAAAATGAACTCCATTGCGAAAGACACAGCCAAAATACATCTAGCAAAAATAAACAAAGAATAAAACAACTAACAAAAGACCTACACAGAATGGCCAATGAACATAACCTTGGTGGAGAAGAAAATGTGGGGACAAACTATATCCTCCTCGAAAAGAAATTGAGCACCTACAATCAAAATATCAGAAAAACGCAAACATTAAGGCCCAAGCCCAATGGGCCACTAAAGGAGAAACCATATGTAAGTACTGGTCAAAGATAAACAGCTTAAAAAAACCAAGGGACATAATCCACCGACTGTGAAACCCCGAAACAAACAGAATGACAACAAAATCAGAAGAAATGGCTGAAATTGCGAAAGAATACCACGACAAAATACAAGAAAAGGACGAACTAACCAACAATATATTTATGAGGCAAGCAACCATAACAGAAACATTAAACAATATACCTGAAACACAAAATTTCGACTCACCGTCGAGTCCTCTACACCACCTCCTGCAAGAAGAACATATCCTAGACGCCCTAAACTTCTTCAAATCCGGAAGTGCCGCAGGCATAGATGGAATACCCTATGGAAACATGGAAAAAATTACATGAACGACACAAAACAAATAGTGAAGAAAACAAACCAAGCTTCAACATAATCAAAACCCTTACGAGCGTAATAAACGACATACAGCTAAACAGTATAACACAAGAATCAGACTTCACGTTAGGATGGATGTGCCCACTTTACAAAAAGAAAGAACACACCCTGATAGAGAACTACTGACCAATAACATTACTGAATACCGACTATAAAATATTAACAAAGGCCCTCGCTATGCAACTCGGGAAAGAAATACATACATTGGTACACCTGAACCAAAGTGGTTTCATACCCAAGAGATCAATCTTTGACCCGATTAGACTAGCCCAAATAATGACCGCATACGCAGACATCACCAAAGAAGACGGAGCTATAAATTGCATTAGACCAAGAAAAAAGCCTATGATAAAATAAAACATGATTACCTGCTAGAGACATTGAAAAAATTCAAGCTACCCCCTCTCTTCATCAACACCGTAAAATCCCTATACGAATCAGTGTTCACAAAGGTCGCCATCAACGGCTTCCTTAGCACTCCATTCCAAGTCACACGAGGCATGAGACAAGGAGACCCCCTCTCATGCCTCCTCTTTGACCTAGCCATCGAACCATTAGCATGCACCTAAGAAACTCACCGAATCTACAAGGATTCCAAATACCTGGCCTACAAGATAAAATTTTAGTAAATCTATACGCAGACGACACAACAATATACCTATCCAAAAAAGACAAATACCCCAACCTCAAGAGCATCCTAGACACATGGTGCTCCGCTTCGGGCGCGAAATTCAACCTAGAAAAGACAGAAATCCTCCCCATAGGATTGCAGACACACAGAGCCACTGTAGTCACAAATAGAAAATTAAACGAAACAGACGAACCATGGAATGACCAAGTCAAAATAGCAAGCGATGGAAACCCAGTCAGGACACTAGGAGCCTGGATAGGGAATAAGCTAGACCACGAAGCGACATGGGAACCAACACTCACAAAGATAGAAAAATGTCTAGCCAGATGGAAACTAGGCCACCCCACGATAGAAGGGAAAGATTAATCATTCAATGGTTGTAGGAGGAATGACGCAATTTCTATCCAAAGCGCAAGGCATGCCGAAACACGTTGAACTAGCGCTTAAAAAAACAATTAGAAACTTCATCTGGGATAACCGTAAGTCCTCACCAATAAGCCTTGAACAATTATACCAACCAAAAGACAATGGAGGCATCGGCCTTATAAATATAAACACTAGACACCAGGCCATAGAGATAACATGGCTCCATACCTACATGGACATATCACCAACACGCCCATCATGGGCTACAGTAACAGACCACATCATAAACACCCTAAGACCGGAAAGTATGCGAGACACGACTGACCCAAGAGCCTTCTTAACGACCTGGGAACCACTCACACAAGGACAAAGGGTGAACAAATTGCCTAAACAAATCACCACAATGCTCAAAACTGCAAAAAAACACAATGTCAACTTCGCTCCACTAAAATTAACGAAGACCCTACAACAACAGATGCCAGCTTGGAACCATATTGGAGCACCTCCCAAAATGTACCGGAAAACAAAAGACTCCTGCCTTCAGAACACACATAAGATAATCACAATAGAAGAACTAACAACACTCACTTACCAGCTAAACATACCTGGAAGACACCATGCAAGGAAAAACTGCGCCTGTGATGAATGCAAAAGAGATAGAACATCTGGATGTAAAAACCCCCACAAATGCGCTAACACAGCAGACGAAATACTCCGAAAACTCCCACCCAAATTCCAACCCAAAATGCCTCCAACAAAAGACAATTTAACACTAACGCATAGAAGAAAAGAGAAGAACGCCCGAGCAAGAGCAGGAGAACAAGACAAAATCACCTTTAACCCGTCAATAACTGAAAACAATCTATCTGAGTGCTTTAGAATCTTCGCAAATAGATTGAATCTCACCTGCACTCCTGCTTATCAACTAGGACTCCCTCCAATAAGAGAAAATACAAGTGAAACACCCATAAATGCATACATGGACGGATCATGCAAACACAACGGTAAAGCAATGCAATATGCGGAAGCGGCATATGGATAGCAGAAAATCACCCACTAAATAAGGCAATTAAAGTACCCGGCAAAGAACAATCAAACCAGATAGGATAACTCACCGCAATACTAGTCACACTACAAACAGTCAACCCATACACACCACTAAACATAATTACAGACTCAAAATACGCCATAGACGGACTAATGCAAAACCTACAAAGTTGGGAAGATATAGGCTGGATAGGAATATCAAACAGCGAAACACTAAAAGCAATAGCCTACCACTTACGAAGATACACCGCGACAACAAGCTTCCAATGGGTGAAGGGCCATAATGAGAACGAAGGAAACGAACATGCCAACAACCTAGCCAACATAGGGGCCAAAAAGCCCCAAGACGATGAAGTCAACTTAAGTATCCCAGAAAACTTTAACCTACAGGGAGCAAAACTACAATCAGTATCACAAGCCATTGCATACCAAGGCATAATGGAACAAACACACACAGAATATAAGAGAAAAACACTAGAACTACTCGATGTCACAAGACATGCCATCCACAAAATATCGAACAAATGGGAAACAGATAAGACCATATGGAAAAGCTGCAGGAAAAAAGACATAAGTAAAAACATCCAAATTTCATATATAAATCGCTACAAAACGCTTACTGGGTTGGAGACTTCTGGACAAACATACCCACGCACAAACAGAAAGCACTCTGCTTAACATGCAGAGGAGAAACAGAAACAATGGAACATATTCTAGCTGAATGTGGACATCCATCCAAAAAACTGATATGGAAATTAGCAAAAGACATTTGGCCAACAAAACACGGCCCATGGCACACATCAAAAATCGGAACAATCCTGGGATGTGGCGCCCTAGAGCTCCCAAAAAACAATGACCCCAACACACAGAACAAGGAAACAGCAGAAAAAAGAGGAGCATCACGCCTACTAAGAATCCTGATATCCGAGTCAGCACATCTTATCTGGACACTGTGATGCGAACGCACAATAAGCGGAACAATACACTTGGATCGCGCCGTGACAACACGCTGGCTGAGTAAAATAAACAAACGACTACAAATAGACCTGGGTAATAGCATGCAAAACAAGACGAAATAAAACGTCTATATCCCAAGTTCAAAACACTTGGGCTGACAGTAATCACTCCCACACCATGTAAAACTGGGTCACCACCCTCGAGGGATTAGTGGGTATTAAACTATCAAGGCCCCGCAGCACAAGGAAACAGGATAGGATACAGAGCCCCACACTACCCTACAAAACATAGGGTGTGCGTAAGAGCATTTTTCCTCAGATGATATCTAGATAGGTATCGTGTTGGAAAATTATATTTTTAGTTGGCATGCCTTAAAATGGATTGGAAGGCCTCAATTTGCCGGCGGCATCACGACTCGCTTGGAAGACAACCCGAAAATTTTGGAAGCTGCTTGGAAGTGATACAGAAAGTCTTTCAAGTGGGTCCCAAGACCATTCCAATGCAAGGGCAAAATTTTGAACTTAACCTGATTGGAACTCATTGTAAGCGATAAATGTCCTTCCAAGGCCAAAAAGCAAATTTGGACCCATTAATTATAATTTAAATAATAGCGCTACTAATAATATCCCATTTTCCTTCCAATCTCTCCCATTTCTTATATCCCGGTCACCTTTACAATCATAATTTCCTAGAAATAATAATCCCAGTCAGTCGGAGACAACAGTCAGACACAAGAGAGAAGCAGCTAACAATAAAACACACCTTGCTGTTCTTAATTGCATGCTCGAGGAATATGGAGCGGAGGCGGATCACAGTGCAGCATGCTCAATCCAGCGACGTCAGTTGACGGGACACTTGTAGTTTTCACGCTCGATAAAAATGCAGAGTCGATTGGTTCAGAGGTTGACTGATGGATGGCGAGGGGTAAGATGTATAAGTAGTAGAGGGAGATTGTTGTGATACTGGAGGTGGGAATGCAGAGAAGACCAGTTCAGAGGTTGATGGATGATGGCAAGGGGTCCAGGGAAGATGTATAAGTAGTAGAGGGAGATTGTTGTGATACTGGAAGAATGCAGACTACATAGCTCGTTGAGGGTATGCAGGTTGAGCTGGGTATTGATACTATGTTGTCGGAGAAGCGAAGTCGGCCGCGGCAGGTTGAGGGACTTGTGACAGAGATCTCAGCTGGGTCAGGATTTGACAATGACGACACAGATGATGCTTACCTGTTGCAGAATTTGGATGTGCCTCTGCGCAGTGGCATCCCAAGCATTCGATTGTAGGGCATATTCCTTTCAATGGGTCAGGGTAAATTCAAGTTCGCTCAGGACTTGTGCTCTCGATATCTGACCAGACGTTGCCTAAGAAAGTATTATCAAAGTCAATGAAAACTGTAACCAAAACAAATTTTAACGTACCTGGACCATCGAGCTTAAACTGTTGCTGCGTTGTTACCGATGTTGTTGACAGAAAAACGACATGATTGTCGTCTGTGAAGGTTGTAACCAAGTGCAAGAGGGTGCAAGTTCAACTCAATTTACTGGCAATGATTATTATGTAATGCTAACTGAGAACACCCGACGACGAAAACAAAGTCTCTACCATAGAGTGTGGCTGAGGCAAACATCATAGTGAATCATGAATATACTAATAGATACATCACATGTAAACCGTAATCTGAATCTGATTGAGTCAATGAATCAAAAATCCGCTACTTCTTCAATCGGCCAGACCTTCGCACTTCAAGATCCTCAGCAGCAGCACCCGGGCCCTCAGCACCAGCACCAGCCTTAGTCTTGCGCCTGGGCTTGGGCTTGGGCTTAGGCTTCTGAACGAGAGGAATGGGTGGCTGTGAGCCTTCGTTGAGTGCAGCTGTGTTATCAATAGGTGGTATTAATAGCTCGCGGTCCTCTGCCATAGCAAGACCTTGCATAGCCGCAGATATAGATTGAGGTGTGCTGACGATGATTGGTGTTTGTCAATGGCCACACTATTAGCAGTTGATAGTGGGGCATCTTCTTCAGTGAGTGGTGATGCAGCTCGAGGAACATCAGGTTCTGGCAGATCACCACCCATTTCCATCGCGCGCTCGAAATCCTGTTCCCAGGTGTCGTGCAAAGTATTCTCACCCCTCAGGTCTCCAAGGAGAGTAGTCGCAGAGGAAGAAGTAGCGAAAAGAGAGTTGTTGAAGAAGGTGTAAATGCTATCTGCCCAGGCGCCACCGGTCATCAGAGATTGACGATAATAGTTGTGATACTCCTTGTATGAGATTCGGGATTTATCGCCTATCTCGACTAGTTCTTTGTCACCAGAAAGAATAAAGATAGCCTGTGACCTAGTTTAGTAGGTATTCCACAGTGTAGATTGAATAGACTTACAACAATTGCTGCCGCTGCAATGAGGCCTGGAGTGACACAACGCAACTCCCATATCTTAGCCTTGGTTTTGGGTGTTGGGGGTGCATTGGCAGCTAGCGAGGATCGCCCGAAAAGCGATGCTTTCAGGATCTATTGAGGTTATTCAGGATGTGCAAGTTAGAAAGGAAAAGAGCCTACAAAAACGAGCTTTGACGTTTTCAGAAAGTCATCTCGGAATAAATGTTCTGGGCGAGGGAAGAGCACGGGCGCAAACTTCGTGTATGCACCTTGAGGGTTAAGGAGCAGGGCGCGGCATGCAGGCTCTGAATCCCGTGCATACCCTCGGATGAAGAACTTTGCGTCAAGATTGAAAATGGCAGCTGCACAGGACTTGACATCTGAAACCATTTCCGCGCGAACACTATTGATGCCTTTGACAAACTCAAAAGAAAATCAGCAAGAGTGAGACCAATTCATACATTGACATACTTACATGGGAACCGAAGTTCTTGTGGGCCATCATGCCATGGTCCGCAGGCAGAATGAAATGAAAGAGTTCAGCTTTAACGCCATCCTGAATTGACATCGGAGAGAGCCACCGCTCTTTGCTCGTGAGATCAATATTAGGAGGTGGTGCGCGCAAGGGAAAAATGGTGGTCTCGACCCAGAGGCAGTGCGTTACAGAAAACTTGCGCCCATAGTTCTTGATGATATCTTCCTTAGCGGCAAGCGCAAGGTCTTTATTAGTAAGCTTCGTCTTCCGGCCTTTTGAGAGTGTGGCCTCGAGAAGAGCATTCTTCTTCAGAGCCTCCTGATACTTTCCTCGCATGTCTAGAAGTAGTCTTTGCACGAGTTCAAGCGCCTATAAGAGATTATTGATTAGCTACTATCATTCATCCATAATATATAGACTTGCCTTGCGAATATCTTCAGCAGATGCATTAAGAGGAGGTGCTGCAATTGCGTTCCGAACTTGCAGTAAATCTGTATCATTGTTGGACTCGTCACCGTCAGAATCTGTCGAGTCGGTGGCGTCGGAGCTGCTATCAATGTTCGCAAGATCTCGAGTGAAGTCCTCGCCATGGGCATGATGGTGCTGAGGCATGGTGGTTCGGGTCAGAGGATATAGTAAAGAGCAACCTGGGAACATCATAATCAGTCGGGCGTGCTTTAAATCGGCACTATTTGGATAGCATCAGACCCTGTGGATGTAATAAGGTGGTAGGATAACACGTACCCTTATCAGAAACATAATAGCCATTGTGTATCCACGTCGTGTAAGCACAAATTAATGAGCAGATGATGACTTCATGCTTCCAAGATCCCTGGTTGGAGGTGAGCATGATGGCAGATGCGAAGAGATGGTGAAAGGAGCCTACTTTGACACGAGCATGAAGCGGACCACCTTCAATGGAGTAAGTATCGTCGTAGATGACCTTGGATGTGAGCATGAAGGGGACCAGCACCTGGAGTAAGTATCATCACAGATGACCTTGGATGCGAGCATGAAGGGGACTGGCACCTGGAGTAAGTATCGTCACAGATGACCTTGGATGCGAGCGTGAAGCGGCCCACCTTCAATGGAGTAAGTATCGTCACAGATGACCTTGGATGCGGGTGTGAAGGGGTCTGGCACCTGGAGTAAGTATCGTCACAGATGACCTTGGATGCGAGCGTGAAGCGGCCCACCTTCAATGGAGTAAGTATCGTCACAGATGACCTTGGATGTGGGTGTGAAGGGGTCCAGCACCTGGAGTAAGTATCGTCACAGATGACCTTGGATGCGAGCATGAGCGGATGGTCTTTGGTGCAAGTATGAAGCGGACACACCTTAGACTCTGATGTAAGCATGAAGCGAACAACCTTTGACGAGAGCGTAACTGTAATGGAGTAAGTGTTGTTGCAGATGGAAGTGATGAGTGAAGTGAAAGAACGCGTTTGAAAAGAAGAAGGATGACTCGGAGTTGGTATGATAAGCTAAATAAGGTTCCTTTGGACCTGAAGAAACATATCAGTATCCACGTAGTCAACGAGAAAATAATCCCCGTGGTTGTCAAAATCTGGGACAAGTAAAGCACCACGAATAATGGAATGAAGAGTGACGAATTCAGACAAAGCTGCAGGCTGTGCACGTAGTCGAGTCAGTCGCAGGTCTCGATCTAGGAGGCGCTGACGTGGTGAAGCATCCATGGGAAGAACCAAGGCAAGATCTAAGGTGCGGTTGCAGACAGTAAGCTTGAACACAAATAATAGCTTGACAAAGATATATTTGTCGTGGCCATCCTTGTCCTGTGTGCGGATTAGAGCACAGTCACGACGCTTGTGGCCATGAAAACTTGGACTGCATCGCAGATAGTCAGTGGCCAACTTCCAGGTAGCAGCTGACTCATAGTGGACTTTGAGATAGCGATGTTTGTGAACCTTTTGAAGTGTCAGAGATCTGATCAAGCACTTCAGAGTGAAGGAGAGACTTACTTGGTCATGTGCTGAAAGTTTCAGCCACTGTATTCCGTCTGGTAATGGTATGTTGTGGGAGGGCAGGAAGTGATTCAGAAACATTGTGAGCTTCTTCCTGAAATGGTCAAAGGCATGATTTGACCTGTTGTCTTCCTCCACTTGCGCTAGGCTGGTGAGAGTCCTAAGGGGCGAACCGATGAAGGATCTTCAACTCAGCTGAGGGTGCAGCTGATATAATTGTTGAAGGGAGGAAAATATGAGTGCGATATGTTCGTCCCTTAGGGGAAGCGGAGAAAGCAAATATCCACTGGTCAACTCTAGGGGGAATGCGCAAAGCGCGTGATAAGGCGAAAGCGCGGGAACAAAGGCGCTATAGGCGCGCGTTGAAAAGCGGAACTGGGTGAAAGCGGTATGTGAGCGATAGTGAGATGTTAAGACGTGTACTGAGATGCTGATAAGACAACTGATGCGGATATGGCCACTAGAGCTAACTGCTACTAGGGCTTGCGATGATTTATTCAAAACATAATAAAAACTCGGAGATGGTGACTGTCTATGATGATGGTGGTCCGTGGTAATGTGTGTTCTGTCTAAAGTAAAAAATGTGTAATGAAAAATGTGTACCAAGTGAAAATAAACATGGTACGATGTTGAAATAAATGATAAATGGAGAAATGCATACCTGGGAACTTGGTTGGACATGGGAAAACACAGTGGGAAGTCAGGTGCCCTATAGCGCTTAGGCGCGGGAAAGTTCGCCTAAAGCGCGCGCAAGTCGCGGAAGTGTCGCCTATGTCGCGCGCGTCGTGCGAACGTCGCGTTTATCGCGCTAGTGTCGCGTTGCATGCATAGTATTGTAGACTCGACCTACAGTGCAATATATGCCATTGTGAGGCTACTCAGGATCGAGTCTCTACACCGATATGCAGGTGAGCTTCAAATGGCTCGTCGTCAGTGTCGTGTCTTCAAGTTCTTCCCGTGAGAGCGTGAGTTTATGTCGTTCCTCATCAAGAAATTCAATACAGCTGCGAATAAACTCGGGTAACGAAGCTCTTATGGTCGAGTACAAGGATCTATAATACAAATATGCGATGTTATTAGTTATTGATGAGAAGCAAACTTCTTGGCAACGACACACCTGGTTAGCGATATCCTTACAATTGGTCTGCCGTAGGTACCAGCGCTTGATCGGCCCATGCTGCTTTTCGTTCGGTCGAGTGCTGAAGTTGCGGGCAGCACCTTTTGTGAGGATATCGTCGAAAATATGCTTTGAGGCATGCATCTTGGGAAAGTTCCAGTTCTTGGTTGCATCGGGATCGGTCTCCTCGATAATTGCGATGTAGTCCTATTGAATCACGTTTGAATCAATTTAAACCTATTGTCAGTATATTATTGTGAAGAATCCAACACGAAAATATACCTCTAAGTGCGTCTGAAACACCAGAACCTCCGCTTTTCCTGCTTGGATTGTGCTCTCTGTATGCACGTCAAGTGATACATACATGTCGATATGTAGATAACTCGCTATGCACCGTAGAAGTGCATAGCCAGCTTCATCGTCTGTGCGCATGAGCACGTTCTGAGTGGTATATAAGATTTGCTATCCAAATTGAATTTGAGTGAAGTTTTAGTTGTCAAATCAATGTGCCAATGACATACCTTGGAAATGTCTCGAAGTTTGTTACCATCGCTACAGGTGATGTTGGTAACGCGATCAAAATGATTCAAATTGCGCCAACGTGTGAAGGCAGCGAACCTGGAACCAATTGAATAGAATTGAATAGTGCGCAGATTAGTGTAATAAATCAACTCACTGATCGTCAATCTTCTTCTCGGCGCTGCGTCCCAAAGCCGCTGCATGTCGTTTAAGCTCGCCAAATAGATGTTTCCCCCATTCCCCGATATGATAAACATGGAGGTGATCCTGTGAGATCATTTCGTGAGGGTTAGAATTCAGGATCTGCCAGAAGACATTCTTAAAAGCAAAATCAGTATCGTTTGTAGGACATAATGAGCACCAACCATAACTGGCCGCAAGCCCCATTTTTTTAATGCTTCTTCTCCAGCTGCTTTATTCTTCTTCCACAGTTCTACACAAGATTGCGCATCTTCAGGCGATCGGATTGGATAAGTAGATGCGTTGTCGTAGAGTTTATCCGATGGGACAAGGCAGATTGGACAAGGGCAATGACAGTTTGTCCCCCATATGAGCGCCATGACACATCTAGTAGTTACAGTGACTGATCAGAATATTATCATCAAAAGAATAACAAACGTACTGCTCTTCGTAATCAGCCAACAAAAGCAAAATGAATGCATACAGCCACCTAACAATACCGTCAGAACACAGATGTGCGTATCCTGTCTTGGCATAGAGTATGATGGTTTCAAGAAGCTTGAGAAACCTGTCATGCCACACAACCCGTTTGAGGTTCACATAAGACAGTTTACCATCCTCCTTAGAGTCTTCAGGTACCTATTCAAAAGAATCACGATTCATTGACAACAAGACTAAGATTGATAATAAAGACGAACTATCGGTAGCCAGCCGACCATCCGTCCGCCGCCCAGCCCATCAGTATTTCTGATGTGAACGGGCAAGTTCCCACATCGAGCGAAGACCGGATAAGCTTTAATGGTCCCAGCAGAAGACAGATGCGTCTTGTCTGCATACAGTATGAAGGCAAAAGGGACGCCGTTTTCGGGTAAAGACGACTATAATACAACACCACTTAGAGCCACATGAATGAGAGTACAAAAAAGTAAGTCATACTTGTACATTCCACCAGCGATCTGCAGTCCAAGGCTCATGGTAAAAGTGTTCGTAATGCGCCCCGTCATGTTTGTACAACCGCTGTGCATCCCAAACAAAGTGCGGCGCCAGTAATGGGTCCTGTAGTAAGTCCAAGGCCCAGTCCCACAATGGGCGTGTATATACATCAAATGTAAGGTCCTCCCGTTTGTGTCGGGCAGTGATAGTATGCTTCTCGAACTGTAAAAATATTGGTAGCTACAGAGGGGAAATGTGATGTTCTCCTCTTACAGGTGTCATCTGAGAGGCCGCCCTGTCCCAGGCCGAAGAAACATCACGGTGGGACTTGAATGTGAATTTTACATGGCCCTCAGCGATTCTCCAAATGAGCCGCAACAGCTCGTCTGTGTGGTCCTTGTTCAAGGCGGCATTGTGTGCGAGTTCAGCAAACTCAAAGTCTGCACGACAGCTGAACAGCTGCCAGGGTTCTTCGTCAATGATGGGCAACCATTGATCTTGCTTGCGCCCGAAGGTAGAGAAAGTCTCTATAGTTGTTGCGCAACCAGATTTCGGATGGTACTCTGTCTTGAATGTATCAAGGCCGGAGGGAACTGAAGTTTCAGCTGCAATTGAGGACAGAGTAGGTGGTGTGGGACCATGAGACGACGCCATACTGGAATCAGAATCCGCACCTGAATTGTGAAAATATTGAATGAGGAACGCATCATGAGCAGTCAAAATACGCATGTTGTCGCGAGTCTCCACTGACACTCATTGCATCAACAACATTATCTGATCCCATCGAAAATGACATTGCGCCTGCGTTCAAGTCGTCGTGCACATTCTCTGTGCAATCCTCAGATAGGAGTGATGCTGAAGGGACCGACAGGACATCTGGGCCAGTACCGGCCGCTGTATCTTGTTCCTTAGGCTTGTGAAGGTGTTTTCTCTCTCGGCGTGCCTCTGATTGTGATATTAAGTGCTTGATATCAGTATGACTTGTCAATATGAGGATATATATCCATGACATACCTTTCCTTTTAAGTTGCTCCTCTACCACCTGTGCTGCAAGCACTGCAAAATCGTTGTTGTCCTTCTCCTTCTCCCATCTCCTCAAGCAGCTTTGCTCGTGAGACCGTAACCCACGCGATGAGTACAGCTTGTTGCAGTGTTGGCAAGGAACCTGATTATTGGATGACGAGGGTAATACATACTTGTGTCCTCCATTTGTATTTCTGTTCGGCGCCATGTAGGAGTATTACAGGGAGATTATGGGACAAAGAGTGTAGTACAATCAAATGGGAAGAGGTGGATTGAGATGAAGGTAGACAACGAAGATAAGACAATCGAGTTAGTCAACGTTATCTGAATCATTGCTTGAATCTGGATTTGAATTCTTACCGGCTGCTTCCGACGAACTTAGAATAATTGTGTGCCAGCTTGGAAGCAACTTGGAAGTGCCAAAAATACACCACGGTCCTTGTAAGTGACGACACTAACGAAAGATCCCTTGTAAGCACCTTCAAACAGGTCACACCCCCTGGGAATACGGACCCAATGTAGTTGTCAGGTGCCTAAATGATGTCCCAATATGGAACGCTTCCAAGGGACCCATGGAGATTTCCGACACGCTATAAGCGCTTTATATAAGGCTAGACGGTGTCAGTTGTTATATAATAAACTCGCTTTGCCAAAAAACAAAAAAAAAATCAAGACTTTACCCATTATAATCTATTCTGCCTAGGTTCTCGTAATAGAGTAGGTGACGCCGGTATTTCGGGTGCTACTGAGTATCGCGGGGTTAACGACAATAAAAGCAATTTCATTTATGGAGTGACAGAACTATTTGATGTAAGGTAATGACCTAAGGCAATAGCTACATATTAGTACATAAAGGCTACACTGAAATTGATGAGAACAATCTTGCCCACTATAAATCGTGCGACGTAAATTCAATGAACGAGAATGCAAGGAAAGTAGTAATCTATAAATTCAAGCCAGACAAGCCTTGCCATAAGGTCGTGAGCAGTATGCACCATTACAGCACGGGAATTGTCGTATGATGTGCAGTCTTTGGTGGGTGTGGGACTCACGGTTGCGGGCGTACTTGTGAGGGTCAAGTGCTGGAACCCGCGGGCACGGAAGAGACACCCGAGCCACCGATGGAGGTTGTTGTCGTGGTCGTGCCGTTCTGGCCAGGGGCAACTACAGTGAACTGGTAGAGTTGTCAGCGATAAGATGCACATTGCCGCAACTCGCAACTCACGTAGATCTGGTCATCCAATGACCCGTGCTGCGCCACAGCGACAAGAGCTGGTTGATGGTTCATCGCGCTGATAATGGTGGACATCTTATACGTCCCCTCAGGCAAACCACCAGTGACGTTGGCATAAAGTTGACCGTTTGCATCTGCCTTGCCGTTCAGACCAAGGAAAAATGCGAACTTGGTGGGGTCGGTTGGGGTAGTCTGCGTAAGGGACTGAAGCGCCTCGATAACGAAGTGGGCGTGACCCTGAATTTGCCCAGATGTAGGATCGATTTGTTGGGGAGCGGAAAAGTAATTGGTATCCGCATTAACAAAGAACCCAGTCTGGAGTTGTTTCACCGCCAGCGTCACCTGGAAAGTGGTATCCGCTGGAAGAACAGCCAAGTTGGTAGGAGTGACAAACTTGGCGCTGGGCATATTCGAGGTGGAAGGGATGGCACCCATGGGAGCGGGGTTGCAGGAACCACCTTTAATCTGTTGGCCATTCGTTATAGGGAGATTGGACAACGTGGCACAGAAGTTGATGAAGTTGTTGGTAGAGGTCAAAGAGGGAACTTCGCCAGCCTCGGAGGTGTTTACATTCAGACCGTTCTGAGCAAAATCAGGAGCGACAAGGCTTGACAGCAGAGTTAGGGAGGTCTGAGCATTTGAGTTAGAATTTGACCCAGAGCCTGCTGTGGAAGTAGCTGTAGAAGCTGAGCTAGATGTAGTGGTCGCACTGGAGGAGCTGCCTGACGTGCTTGTTCCGTTGGCAGTGGCGCCAGTGGCAAGAATACGAGAGTTCAGGTCTGCTTGAGTGGTGCAAGTGATGCTAGTTCCAGCAGAGTTGACAAGAGGAAGTGCAGCACACCTAAGATAAGGCAGTGGAAGGTCGACTAAGCATCGACACTGGAACATAGTCGATAGAACAAACTTACATTAAACCTGATCCACATGAAGTGAGGACGTACTGCCCGTTGACACACTGAGCAAACTCCCCATTGACACAGGCGTTGCCAGATGTACATGGTGAGGATGCAGTCAGGGACTGGAACTGGTTGCTGAAAGCAGGGGTTAGATTGTTAAGAGACTGCGTGGAGCCGACGCGACGTACTTTGAATTGATCGCGTCAATACCATTCTGCAGTACAAAGCTTCCCCCACGGCGCTTGGGGCTCGGAAGAGCGGTGGCGAAGGAAGAGAGCACGAGAGTCACAAAAACGGAAACCTTCATGGTGTAGATGTACTAGTATGTCGTCGACTTCAGCGGTGAAGGCGTGTTTCGAAGATTTGTCCAAGACCAGCTTGTGAAAGATGGCAGTCAATGCCGAGTCGTAAGTTGGAAGCAAAGAAAGTGAAGTGAAAGAAGGCAGCAGACACAGTCCACTTCGTCACTGACGAGGTTGTGATAAACACGGCGAGTACGAAATGCATGCCGTTGCATGGTCTTTATACTTGACACAAAGTAGTAGTAAGTATCGGGAACAATCAACAATGGAACAAGAAGATATAATGGGATCATACATAGATCCGCCTCTCCTTCACAATAAAAAAGCATCCGGTAGTCGCCAACGCGAAAGTGCGTTGTGTAATTTTGCCAGGTCATCCGTTGTTGTTCGACGTACTTGGCTGTTGTTCACAAGAACAGTTCTTATTGTTCATCACAGACTACCAATCTCGGACTACATCTTTCAATCGTGTTTGTAAACCCGTGACCTGCTAATCTCGCCAAGTATCGCCAGCCAGCGTAGAGGATAGTGAAAGCTAATACAGATCGTATCGAACAAGATGTATTATGTCAATGATTCTGTTCGTAAAATTAGCTCCGAGAATGACCCTCATCGTCAACCAATCTCGTCGCGTTCCTGACGAACAGTGGCAGAACAAGGGTATCAATTACTCCTCAAGGAAAAAGTAGTTGCCCATGACTGCCAAAATGATATCAAAAACCTTATGAATGACACAAAAGGCCAAAGACATACCCTTCTGTTCTCTGTCCTTTACGCTGTTAAGCTTGTTAACTCTTGGCCTGAAGTTTGTGGGATCACGTCTGAACGTGACCTCAAGTGATGCCAAGAAGTGGTTCATTCCAGTGAGGAGGGACTGCGGTCTGCAAAGCGAATTAACCACGTGAGTATAGTATCGCCTGAATGTCTTACGGCGTAGAAGTTGCTCGAAGGGCGGGCTCCCCCTCAAAGACAATGACGCGGTCAGCCAGATAGGTTGCCATGATGAAGTCGTGTTCGATGACAAAAGCAGTCTTTTTGGCATGAAGGATGAAGCTGAGGAAAGTATCGATCAAATCGAAAAATGTAGACGACTAGACCGTTTGCTTACCGCTTGATGACCTTGCTTGCGATGATACGTTGCTCAGAGTCGAGGAAACTTCAATGCTGTGTTAGCGTATTCACTTCGGGAGATCGAGATTGGCGTACCTGCTTGGTTCGTCAAGCAAATATACAGACACATTGGGTTTGCCTTAAGTCAGGTGTCAGCCAACACCAAATGAAATCGAAGAAAGCACCCACCGAGTGCAAGGACAATGGCCACGCGTTGCAGCTCACCTCCGGAGAGCGTCTTCACATCCTGATCCATAATATTATCCAACGTCATCGGTTTGAGCACGTCCGTTTGGAATTGTGGGTGCATAAAGGCCGCTTTAATTTGCTTCAGCAGAAGCATGCGGACAGTTCCTGGGAACTTTGGCGATATCGTCTGCGGCTTCAAGGACACCGCCAACTCCATTTTGTCTGCCTCGTCGTCCGGCGTCGTCACGCCGGCAAGCAGGCGGACAAAGGTTGTCTTTCCTGTCCCGTTTTCGCCAAGCATGACAATAATTTCTGAATCAGTAAAACTACCGGCCTCAACAGTGAGCTTGAAGTTGCCCATCGTCTTTGACATAGAGGGATAAGAATAATGACGGGTCTTGTCAATGATGAGCTCCTCAGCAGTCTCCATCATCTTGAAGCTCAGAGACTCCTCGCGGAAACGCAAATTCTCGGTGGGGATGAAACCGTCCAGGAAGATGTTGATACCTTGTGAAGGAGTGAGCCATTTCACAGCGAGCTATTGAGTAAGCTTTTACCTTCACGGACAGAATAAGGCATAGTCACAACACCATACATCGATGGCTTTCCGTAAAGACAACAGATAAAGTCTGAAAGATAATCCAATACTGACAGATCATGCTCGACAGCAATGACATAGCAGTCCGGAGTGAGTAGGGTCCGGATGACCTCGGCAGCCTTCAACCGCTGTTTTATATCGAGATAACTCGAGGGCTCGTCAAACATATATCTACACAAGACCGATTTCAAAGCGTGGCTTATAACGGAATTGGGACATACGCACACATCGGCCTTCTGAATACATGACATGGCGATCGCGAATCTCTGCAGTTCTCCACCAGAGAGTGCCGTAACTTCACGATCAAGAACGTTGTTCAGTTCCAGCTCATCGCACATTTTTTGCTTGTTGTCAAGCTCTAGTTTCGAGTCCAGCATTTGTGAAACAGTCAGGTTGCCTTTGATCGCCCGAGGGATGTGGTCAACATATTGTGGCTTGATAAGTGCCTTCAAATTGTCCTCGAGGACCTTGGTGAAATAGTTTTGCAGCTCGGACCCACGGAAGTAACGTAAGATTTCTTGCCAATCAGGAGGATCCTGCCGGGTAAAAGTCCGAGTCAATGTCGTCTTTGGGCGGTCTCATACCACTCACATCATAACGGCCAAGATTTGGCTTCTGTTTTCCAGCGAGAATCTTTAGTGCTGTGCTTTTACCAATTCCATTAGTGCCAACGAGCCCGAGCACCTGGCCAGGTCTTGGGGTCGGTAGTCGATGAAGTTTGAAGGCGTTGGCGGTATAACGATGCGTCACTTGTGATTCCAAGTTAGTCGGTAAGTTAATGATGGCGATAGCTTCGAATGGGCACCTAAGAACTTTCTCAATCATGTGAATGATCCTCGTCAAACGATCCACTCACTTCTTTACGCAGATACCACAACCGATACATAAAAACTCAGAGATGAACGCTATCTTATCGGTCGATTTTACTTCTATGCAAAGTTTACCTGGAAGGAAAATTAGCATGAGCACCCTGCCTGTGCTTCGGGTGGAGGCGCACCCATTTTGACCACGGGACATGACTGCTCGCGAGCTGATGAGCAACTGATCTGACGTGATTGCTCGAGAGGGAATGGTGCGTCACCTTCTTGCATTCCTGGGCACATCGCTTTGGCTTGCAGCGATTTGCGTCTACGATGGCGATACGGGTAATTTTATCAGCCATCGTTGCGGGCTAGAGATGGCGGTTGGATCTTGGATCTGAGTCTTTGCTTGCAGTACTATGATGACGGATCGGCAACAGTGATGCAACGAAGTTGATTGGCCGCGACAAAGCATATAATTATTTATGTAAATGATTTATAATAACTCTTTCCTGGTTATATTATCTCTCGGGTAGACCCAGTTGTAGACTCAGACTGCCATGGTGCTACCTGAGATCGTGACAGTCGATGCTGTACGTGTTTATATCGTCATTGGGAAAGTTGGACAATGACAATACCCTCTGCGGATAACCTGTCATATGTAGATCCTTTTCGATCTGGATGGGTAGTTGTCACTATCAGTCTTCTTGATCTGGCAGACTGATCGCCGTACGCAGGACCCTCATAGATTCCACTCCTGGCGTCATTTCAGCCTGGAAAACATTCGCAGAGGAATACAAACTTGGATCGCATCTTCCGATCGTGCAGAAAACTCATGGACGGAGACTTGCTGATACCCTGAAGGACGAGACGATATGTAATATCCAGGACACAGAAATTTTGAATGTGGGCTCGACTTCATTCCATGCTTGTGATGGCCCTGCTGATTTTGCAGAGCGAAATTTTGCGCTTCGAGGACCTGGTGATCCAGGGTAGCCCAGTGGCCCTCGAAGGAGCCATCGAGTTCTTGACTCAGGTAAAACTTTCGAAGTTTCGAAGTTACACATATCTTGCATGATCGGCTGACTACATCGCTCAAAGCTCGACTCCCATCATGACATGCGCTCGAGGTGGACAATTGTCACATCAGGTAGTGTAGCAATCTTGTCCTGTTAATGGTGCACCGGAGCTCCCTGAACCATAGCCTCGAGGTACTATGCAACTCAGTGCATACCAAAGTGCAAAATTCCGGTGCCTACGTCAGGGTTTGTGACGGCAGATGATGTCAGTGAAGGTAAGCCAAAGCCCACGCCGTATCTTGAGGGAGCCAAGAAACTCGGGGTTGATGTGACTAAGTGTGAGTCAGACACCACCCGTTTCTTAGAGGCGCCTGATTTGCCCAAGGTCTTGTCATCGAGGATGCACCTTCCGGAGTGCAAGCAGGAAATAGTGCCGGTGCAAAGACGCTCGCAGTTTGTACCTCCCACAAACGCGAGGACTTCGAGAACTGTTCAGAGGAAATAAAGCGCCCCACGTATATCATTGATGATCTGACTACGTGAGTCGCGATGTGCTCGGCAGCACTCATCACTCACGAAAGAAACCATTCGTAGAGTACGCGTGAATTGGGAGAATGGCAAGATTCGACTCGCGATCGATACCCGTAGAGGACCTGATGGATCAGCAATTTTGTAGACAGACCCCCACCAAGTAGTGATTTTGGGAATCCTCAGACTGTAAGGTGTGATAAAATACAAAACAGGAGGGTGCTCACCAATGACAGAAGCTGTCTCATCGTGACGAACAAGCAATTGGCTTTCGCAGAGTCGCCGGAACGATAACTCTGGTAAAAGATACTAGAGTGAACAATACTTAAGTTGCCCCCGCTTGCAATGGCACTTACCTCCTTCTCGTGATGCTTCATAATTAAGTGATACGAATGGACTCACCATCACACTGCTTGTTGAAAGGGAATCAGCGAACATTTGGCTCTGAATCCCCAACGATACCAGTAGCCTCTCAGTCTTTCTTTCGGGCGGTGGTCACGGCCGGTGCGCTGGCACTCTCCGTGTTGAATGGCAACATTGACATGCTTTATTATAAAGAAGGGACAACTATCTTCATCTATAAAGGGTTGTCTAGGGGAGACTAATGTAAAGCAGTGTCCCAGGCCATGTAATGTAGACAAGTATATAAAATTTTGCATACTTAACATATGAATCAAATTTACTATCATATCAACAGAGTACAGTATTGTACAAACATCAAGGCGTCATGTGCAAGTGGCCAAAGGAGCGCGAATCACCTTACTTCCTGTGCCAAAGGCACACCGGGTGTGGGCTAGTCATGATGAAGACAACAAGGAGAACAACAGTAACGCTGTCCGATTTGGATTGCGTCTGAGATCTCCGTGACCAGCAAGTATAAACAGGTTTGCAAAGAGAGCAGATGACTGCTGCTGACAAAGATTGGGGTACCAAATGAAGTTGTGGCTGATGGGTGGGCGTGAGCCGCGTGATCATGAACTGGTGAGATTGAGGCGATGAGGGAACAGAGAAATTTCTTGCCAGACTTGTACCCTAGAAGAGGGTACAGGAATTTCCACTTCAGCAGGTATAATATATCATAAACTACCCTCCTACTATAATCTTTCTGCTTCTTCCAGTGGCTTGCCGTGAGCCGCCGCGTATAATGCTTCTTTGTCCCCAGACTCGTCCACGAGAGCACGCAACATACCCTGTTCATTTTGCAATAGCTCCAATGGACTACCAAATTCGATCTGTACAACTTGGTCAGTATGGGAACACGATACAAGATGAGTTACTCACAAGTTGACCGGCATCGAGGACCATCTATTGAACAGATCGTAAGTCCTCAGTACACGATATCCCAACTTCAAATACGCACAATCTTGTCAGCATCAATGATCGTCTGCAACCGATGTGCAACGATTATCTGGGTCACGTTATTCAGCTCATTGCGGAGAGAAGATTGAATGGCAGAATCGGTCTTATAATCTGCAAAGGATTATAGCATGATAAAAATTCACGACATGAGGTACACACCAATAGCGGAAGTTGCCTCATCCAGTATAAGAAGTTTGCTTCCGCGGACCATAGCTCTAGCCAGAGCTAAGATTTGGCGTTGACCGACTGATAGATTCCCTCCTCCGCTTGCGATCGCACTGTCTAACGTTAAACTCGCCTCGGACTCGTCTTGGACAGCAAAGAGTCCGGCAGCGCGTAAAGCATCGTAAAGCACCGCATCATCGTGCTGATCGAAGAGATCCAAGTTCTGACGGAGCGTTCCGCTCAGGAGCTCGGGCTGCGCGTGATAAAACGTGTCAGCAACGTGAACGAGTAACGGCACAAGGAACGTACGATTTGAGGTATGATGGTCACGTTGGACCGCAGGGCATTCAAATTGATCCCACTTGTCGGAATCCCATCATAATAAACATTGCCTTCCGTGAAAATGCAGCGAAGGAGCGAAAGGGTCAATGAACTCTTCAGGATAGTCAATATAAGTCAAGATGGATAACGCAAACAAGCATCACCTTTCCGCTTCCAGTTCGCCCCACTAAATTCGGATTAGCGATTGAAGTGGAAGTGGAAGCAAGCTCGCGACACACCGATACCAACGCGTTCACCTGATTTGATGTGGAAAGACAGGTCCTGCAAAACTTTAGGTCCATCCTGCAAGCGATGGTTAGGTAGAACGCGGAGACATGAGCTAATACTCACCGACGAGTAGCGGGCCGACAAATTTTCTACGCGCAGATCACCGCTGGCAGGCCAGTACGCAGGCGGCTGGCCGCCTTCGGTAGACTTAGGCTCCTGTTCGATCTTGATATAACTATCGATCCGTTCTAGACTATTTCACGTAAGCAACAGTCGGAGACATTGTGTGTCCGTGCTCACCTATTGCCTACACAAATCAGTTAGACACAGAAGGAGTTATGCGAGAAAGTAGCTCACCACTGACTTCCACCTCGTTGAGGATACGAACCCACCAAAGGATCATGGAACTGAAACCGACTGTAAGGTGTGAGCGAAAATCCGCGATAGGCACATGTAAATAAATTTACCTGCCATGTTCAGAGAGAAACCAATGTTTGACGCCTCATGGACTCCACGACCGTACACTAGATAAGCGGCAAGACCAGCCGAGAATCCACCACCGATAATATCAATACGGACACAAACCCAACTGAGAACATCCCTTAGCAGCCAATCGCTCGACAACCAACACAAACGAACCGATTTAAGTTATAGAACATGCGCCCTGATTTAGTGTAGCGATCGATGCGATTAAGAGATTCTTCTTTAAATGCCTCCTCTGCACCATACGCTCGGATCGATGCTGTTTTAATGAATGAGCTCGCATATCATAGAAGCCCGGTGACCGCTTACTAAGTCCTGCAATAGCAGCCCCGAAGTGACCAAGCACCGGTGCTTTCGCATTGCTCATCTCTCGCTTGACTGATAGTTGAGCTTTCATGTAGATGCGACCGACCCATCCACCTAGCAAGCCGATAAAGAGACCGGGCGCCAAGAAGACAGGCGTCATGGCCACAACGGCTCCGAGTTTCACGATCATCGTCAAAGAAAGTTCAACGACCCAACCAATTCCCTGCGCAAACGGACCATCAACTAGATAACCTATCAGCAAATGTTGGCCATCTAGAAGTAAGTGACTGACTGGCTCTTATGTCCTGCGTGCACCGGGTGATAACTCGAGATGTAGGTGTCGTATCTAACCATCTGTCCAGTAATGAATGCGTGCGCGACCGTAAAATTCAGAGAACACACCTTAGCGTTGTTCCAAGTACAGATTGAATGAGTTTCTTGTGAATGGATCGTGACGCCCGCATCGAACCCCGATAGTACATGTAATACCCAACTGAATACATGAGACAGCCAGAGAGCATGAGCAAGGCATATCCGAAGAGATAGCTTACGATAAAGGTGAGTGACAAATCCACAAACAGCAACTATTCTTACAATTTGACATTGACCTCTGAGGGTAGATGATCTTCGTATTGAGATGCCCAGTACCCAAGGAACCAGGTTTGCACAGTGTTGGAGAAGTCCGTCAACCCCATCAGAGCCAAGAACGCAACCCAGAATGTCACAGGATAGTTCCCCCCCAAGCCGGTCAGGTAGAGCTTGACTGAAACGCAATATCAGCAAAGCACCAATGATTGTGGAGGGAGGAACTAACAAGCTGGCCAGGAAACATGACCCTCTGCAATTTCCTCAGACATCACCAACTTGCCATCGGACTTGGCCTTCGGTTCTTCTGGAGTGTCCACGACCTGAGCCTCTTTACCGAGGACTTCCTGTTCTTTGGCCATTTCCGCTGCAAGCTTGTTGTCCTTTGCAATGGCCTCCAATATCGATCCATGGCTGACAATCCGTCCGTTGGAACCCATAGACACGACGAAGTGCGCTATAGAACTCGCCATAGCAACGTTATGTGTCTGTACTGTCTTAGAAAAAGAGTAGTCACATGTAACTTACATGCACGTACCACAAGGATAATTGTTCGATCTTTGACAAGATCTCCTGCGAAACATTTATCTACAATCCACTTGGACGTGTGGACATCCAGAGCAGCCAAAACCTGTGTCTAATCACTAATAGTTCAAAATAGAGATGGAATGACCAACATCATCAAGCAGCAGTGTGTTTGCCGAAGAATAGATAGCTCTTGCAAGGGTAATTCGTGCCTAGCATGTTTCAGCGGCCGCATGCCCACTCGTGAGGAATGTGATTACCTTCTGACCGCCACTTCCAATACGAAGTCAGACTTATGACAAACGAAGGCTCAGCTCGTTGAGCTTACCTTAGCGTAAGACCCTTTTCTCCAACTTCCGTTTGATCGCCCGCTTCGAACAAAGTCAGGTCACGCTCCAGAGCACACTGATACAAGACTGCACTCAAACATTTCAACAAACGTTCACAAGCAGCGCAACCGAATATTCACCTTTCTCGTATCGAATCTTATCATAGGGTGCACCAAAAAGGATGTTGGCCTGGGAGCTACTTCAGCATACGAATAACTGATTTTGCAATGTCACGTACCCGAATGGTTTCATTCTGGACCCAGGACTCTTGCGCGGCATAGGCTACACCGCCTTTGCGAGGGAGGTTAAACCAAGATGTTGGACCAGAGGGCGTGAAGTGCATTTCGCCTGGACAGTAGATTAGAAACATCTAGAGACAAGGTCCAACAATTACCCACCGAGCAGAGCCATAAGCATTGATGTCTTCCCAGAACCTGTCGGTCCGACGACAAGGTTGATACAACCGTGTTGGAAGTAAATCTCACCATCGATGCGAAGCCTGAACTTGCGCTTCGACGGTGTCAGCGACCCATGGGATTCATTAGACCATGCAAAGACAGCGTCTCTGAAGCCAATGAGGTCAGATTCCTCTTCTGACTGGACAAAGAGCTGGACTCTGTCGTCGTCCTGCTGTTCGTGGGCATCCAATAGTTCTGTGTCAGTCAGGAAACTGTTGACGCGATCCAGCGATACTTTGGCTGGAGAGCACCGTTTTGTCAGTGATTTTGGAGTAGACGAAATAATTACCTTGAGTAAATTTTGGAATCATGAAGAACACCATGTTCAACTGGTCTCTCAGAATGTCAAAAACTGTCAGATGAGCAACATCAGTAACTCTGCACAAGTGAGTAACAGTAAGAAGCTTACCTGACATCGACGAAAAAACATTTGAAGCTGGAATACCTGTCAGGTCAATAAAGCACAACACGGTCTATACACTGACCAGATAAGTTTTGTCCCATAATAAGAGTCTAAGAAAGGTTAACAAACTTGTTTTGCATGTAATCGAATGCAACATACGAATGTCATGTAAGAAGCCATCATGGTAAACAGTGGAATTATGTAGCTATTCATGCGTCAGTTTTCGTTGTCACACCAGTTAACGCGGAAGACGTACTTCAAGTTGTTGTTCACCAGTTCTAAGATCTTCGTCTTCCACGTCCAGACAAGTTCTACTTCTCTTCTTTCGCTGATCCTCGCGTCCAATTTCTCTTCCCATCCGAACAGCTTGATCATACGCAGAACATTCATAGCTAGCGAGCCATAAGCACCAGCTCTACACAGGTGATGCTCGACTTACTTTCGGTCACGGTTTGCACCCGGGCATCCGTCTGGGGATACAATAAGCATCGACCAACCAATCAACAAAGGGTCCAACCTTGTGCATTTTCTCTGCCTGCACCTTTTGAATCCGCTGGGCGACGTACCCAGGGAGAGGGAACAAGACGATCATAACAGTCAAGCCGGCAAAGGCACTTGGTAAATGGCCATCAGTCAAGTTAGACAGCAATTTGACGACACCCACCTCCAGCCAAGAATTTCGTACAAGAACCACATGCACGTGCCTACTTGAAGTGGCATGTACAACGCTGGACGAAAATATGCGTCAGAAAGCACGCGTCCATCAGAGTTGAGTTTGACTTGCCGACCATGAGGAAAATCTCGTCCATCGGTAATATTGCTCAAATCAGTTGTAACAAGATTATTAATTTTTCCAACAAGGTTGTCAGCACTCGAATGCTTTTTCGGCGAACTGTCTAGTTCTTTGACATCCTGGGACTTTTGCTTGCCTTTTTTCGTGGCAGATATTGATATGGTCTCGGCACTGGCCTGCAGCGTCTCATCGCCACTGCCATCTGTACTTTCATCCACAGCAGCAGTGCTAGATCCAGCTACAGATGCACTGTCTGGTGTAGATGGTGCTGTAGACTCCCCAGACTTCTTGCCGTCATCGGGGAGCTCAGCTTTCATTCGGATTCGGAGCGCATGCTCGAAGACCAGTTGCGTGAGAATACCCTCCGTATGCACGAGTGCGCGTGTCTAGAAAGCCCATGAGTGTGATCACTAGTTATCGAACAATCGTACCCACCGCAATGTAAATATACCACTGCCATGCCAAGGAACCCACAAGTGGTCCTAAGAACAGCCAGGATATCCAGACCCATGGACGGACCACAGCACGCTCGCCTTTCGTCTCAACATAACTAAGCAAATCGCATGAGATGTCAGAAAATGTAACAACCAAACTACTTACAGCAAAAGTTGATTAATTCCAAAGGGAGCGGCTAGTCTTGCCAGCACCTGTCATAGGGAATTGTCAGACATATGGAGCCACGGGCAAGAGAAATCGCATACCTGGAGAACAATCGTAACAGACATGACTATATACTCAACGCAGAAAGTCTTCATGAGGCCGAAGAATATATGTCGCCTTCGGCTCCCGGAGAAGGGGTCAAGATGCTGCAACAATTATCAACTCGCCTCCTATGATAGTAATGTCGTATACTTACGGGGAAACTCTTCTTTTTGAGGTTCCTGGAATAATCATGGTCGGCCAGTGGGGGAAGTTCTTCGTGCGACAGGTGGGGAACTCGATACGCCTTGAAGACGATGGGGTCCAGCCAGGTATAAAAAATCATAGACAGCCAAGAAGAAGTTTGCTCGGGGTGAGGATTGTCAGAGACGTTCTTTGAAATGACGTGAGGATTGGCGATGAGAGGTCTATGGCATACTATGACATACCGCAGGGTCTACTGGAACATATTGTCTCGGGCTCACGAGAGGGAATACGATGCTTGACAAAAAAAGAATAGTGACTTTCGCCCACAACAAGCCCCCTTCTTTCAAATCCTTGGGTTGTTTATGGAAGGTAATAAGGGGCCACAGATCCCGGTACGCAAAGACCGCAAAGACTGCAAAGAGAAGAGTAGCCAGGTGATTGGACACCAGCCTGCTCCATCGAGGTTTCGTTGTCACCGAAACGAGCCCGAGAATAGATGCATAAGCCTGCGGAAAATGAGCGAATATTGGAACAGATAACCACAAATCACCAACAGCAGTCATGCACAAGGCAAATTGCAACCACTCGGCGCGAGAGAACGGAATGTAGCCATCAGAGGGATGGGGCCTGCGATGCTTTCCTTTGGACAGTTTGTTGGCTCCGGTTGCGCGCTCTTCACGTTCATCTAATATGAAAGTAGCTAATGACAGCCCCAGAAACGCAAGACAACCGATAAATCTTGCAAACTTGTACGCAAAAATGACCCAACCACCATGCCGAGAGATGAATACTTTAGCCTCGGAGAAAAATCCATCAGCTATAGTAGGTTCATCGAAGAAAAGGCTGGGCTCTTCCTCTGTCTTAGGGGGCAGGAAACGCGACCAAAGCTTTTTGACCGGCTTAGATAGCGTTATTAAATGTAGCAAGAGAAGAAGCGCAGATGCAGCGGCAAAATATGCTGGAATCATGAGTGTGCTGTACCACACTCTGAGAATTGAGGGTATTAGAAGCTTCAGGCCCATATCAGCTTGGAGCACAACACTCACGCATTCAAGTTATCATGGTTTATCGGTTCCCAGTCGAGAGACTGAGAGACGTCAGACCTCAAGACGACCTGCCATGGACTAAAATCGGTATACCGACTCCAGAGCGACATTTCGCTGGTATTGCGCGTCTGATCGAGCTGCGCAGTAGAAGAGTGGGCAAGTTGAAATCAACAACTTTATAATCAACAACTTTATAATGTCCACATGGTTCAACACTTTCGGAAGCGTGAACTTCAATTTATTATACACGCCAGTACCGGGGGTCCTTGTGTATCCCTATTTGGATGTTGTGGGGAAATCAGGAGCATGTCTAAACAACTTGCTCAACACTGTCATGGCTGCCCCAATCGCGGAGTCCTTTACACCTAAGACATCCTCTTCAGAGTCGCAACACGGACCAATTCCCCTGTTTGAACATCACCTCAAGGTCTTGACAGACTCATATTTAAGCTTCTTCCAAGAAAGGTTCGTCCACTCAGTCATCCCACTACACCGTCTAACAGTGGCATGATTCCCGTAGAAAACGTATCGAAGAAGTGTAGTGAGCAATATTTGGTATATAGTTTTCCGGAATACGCTTTGACACGCGTTTTAGCATCGAGTCCTTGCTCAAACTTCACCGGAAAGTGAAATCCATCGACAACTATCTAGACGATCGGACAGAACTTAGCACTTCCAGGAGAGCGTGGAGTGAAGTTCGGGATAACATCGAGAGAGGTTGGTCTTACTTCAATCTCAGACCTTACAGTGGTCCCTTATAGGCGATACAGAAGCACAAACCAGACAAGCATTTCTTGCAACGCTTACGGTAGATGTTGTTAACGCCTTGACGTCACTCAGGGTACGTCTGCCCCCTCGTTCAGCGTCTTGTCGAATCTCTAATCGCTAGGATATTAGGAGACGCAGGAACGTACGCGCAAACGCATCAAAGAGGATTTAAAAGAGTCTGGCAGTGCCTACACTGACTATGTTGAGAATACATTACCAAAGCTGAAGCGCACATACCTGAAAAAATGCCAAGAAGTCGAGGTCAGTACCAAAGTAGTAATTTCTTGCAGTCACCTACAATGAGTTTCAAGGATCACAAAGCTGCTGCCGCCGCCACGCCGCCGCATTCAATATCTACTACTAGTACTACGCCATATTCAGAACAAAGCGGAACTACCTTGAGTACTTCGCGGTCAAATCCTAGTTTGCCGTCCCGGCCTGTTGTCACTGCCCCTCAGCCATTACGCCCTCTTGATAGACGGCCCTCTGGAAGCGCGCCTGGACCACGTAATCGGTCACCGTCTACTTCGGGCACATTTTCTGATTTTGCTCAACACGGTATGGCATAAATATGGCATATATTGATTCCGACTTGACTCAATCATGCGCCTATTAGGAAAGAAACAGCTTAATCAGCTTATCACATTCTTAGATAAAAGCGGTACTGTGAAAGAGAGCTTGGGTGTACGCTCAGAAAATAGTGCGCTTCGTGCTGTCCGTGCGAAACGAGAAGCTGATGAGGCTGGTAAGTGATGCGTCGATATACGCAAGCCGTGCGAAGTTGATTTTAGCACAGATAGAGAATACCGAAAGGGTGTGCATTGGCTAGAGACCCTTAGACTCAGGCGCACTAAGATTCTTGCAAGTGGTTACAAGGTAATTTTGTTAAGTAGTCGACATCATCTACTGGCAGCTGACTAGTAGGCACCATTCAGAGCCTGGAGACCTTTGTGTATGAATATTCGAATACAGTCAAAAATGTCTTGGAGAAATATCTTGATAACTTGACGTGCGTATATTTTGATTACATTACTTGCATTCGCAGTTCTGAGTTTGTCGGCAGTGCGACTACTACGACTCAGACACAGCTATCATCACACGGACGTTCCGTGGTCGACAAGATCTCCCCAGAAAAAGATGTATCACTTGTCACAACCTTCATTCCTCGTTCACTGGCATCGGCAATAGCCAAGCCAATACTTTACTATAACTACAATGTTGGCGAATGCAACGACCTTATCTTCGGCTTTAGTCTGGTGGATTATGCGACTGCTAGAGGCCTTGGGGAAGGCGATGTTCCAAAAATTTTGCGTATCTGTGTGGAAGAAGTAGATCAGAGAGGGTTAGACGCAGAAGGCATTTATAGGGTAAGCCCTGGTTAGATTTCCTGGCTTCAGATGTTGATAGTCAACAAGGTATCTGGCAGGCATGCCATTGTACAGGATGTAAGTCTATCAGCTTTTCCATATCACATGCTTTTCATCAGCATTCCACAGCTACAACATAAGATAGAGCGAAACGAAGCCAGTTTCAAGTTTAACGTCCTCACTGATGATATTTATGCTGTATCTTCACTATTGAAGGTATTGTATTCTTTCGGTGACTATGTGCTGCCACGACATTGATACTTCATTCCTAGCTGTATTTGCGCGAGCTTCCGGAACCATTGTTTAGATTTCCACTGCAGGATCGTATAGAGCATACGGGGGACCGAGGCAAGCACTCGGGAGCGTAAACTATCCTGAAAACCATCTGACCTTGTATTAAGCGGAACACCAGTCGAATCACTTTGCCCTCCTGCGTTCGAAGATACGGCGGCTACCTGCCATCCACCGCGCGACTCTGCGCGCTCTGGTTGAGCATCTAGCTCGTGTGGCATCCAATGCGGATAAGAACAAGATGGACGCAAAAAACCTAGCGATTGTATTTGGCGCCGTCATCTTTGGTGAAGATGAAATTCCAAAGGGCGGTGACCTTTTGAGTGTTCAGTCGTGGAAAGTTAGTCATTATTTATTACTCAGATTGCCTGAGCTAATCTTTCTGAATTCAGGATACGCTGATGGAGGACATGATTAACAATGCCCGAGAGATTTTCGAGGATCTCCCGCCTGCCAGTAACTCCCCTCCTCTGCCTGCTGCGCCACTCGGTGAACCCATACTCGTGTACTCGTATGGTTCATCACACACGAGGATTGGCAGTGTTCCTCCAAGGCCTCAATCCCCGAGAAGCCCAGATGACTTCACTCCTCGTCTCCCCACACGACCGACAGGCAGCATACATCCTTCGCTTCGTGCAAACCCAACGTCGCCGACACGCGTTAACATGGAAATTCCTCCATTGCCATCACGAACTGCCCAGGGCGGAGACGATGAGTCATCGCCGTCGCCCACCGGTTCTGCGTCAAAGCGCACATCAGAGATAGACATATCGCCACCCTCATCGCCTTCAGCGCTGTCGCTTCTCATCTCTCCTGCGGGCGAAGTGGCAAGTGAACCAATACGATAGGGTTACCTTTTTCTTGTACATCGAGTTTCAAGATGGAACTTTCAAGCTTTTAACAAACACTCGCTCAGGGTAATTGTGTTTCTCTGGATAATTAACGTCTACAATATTAGGCACGAACCGTGTTGAAATATACATTTTACTTTGTGATCAATGACCTTTGTACATCTACAATGACATCATGCAGCTAAATGTTACAAAGAGATATCTGTTGATGAGTGATATTGCTCAATCACCCAGTCCATATCCATTTCCTCCTCTCGAGCTCGCTGGGCTTGCCAGGAGGCCTGCCACTCTATGACGCGTGGATGAGCCAATACTCTGAAAGAACATGTCAGTCGATACGCCCAGTAAAAATTCTCAACTTAATCCCAAACCTTGAAGGGTCAAAACCGACGATCTCCAGTCCTTCCAGGCTTGTGGCTCTCGAAAGGGCGACATATGCTTCCCAAAGGCAAATCAGCTTCCATAGACAATAAGACATGGACTCGGTCGTTCACCTTGCCCCTTCTCAAAGATCCTCATCAGATCAACCTTTACTCGACTCATGGTTTGGCCCTGAGCCTTGTGAATGGACATTGCCCAGGAAAGTACGAGAGGTACTTGTATTCGTTGTGCTTCGCAGTTGCCTTTCAGGCCCTGGACATCAAATGGTAAGGGCGCACAGAGAAGGTGTAGCCCATCCGTGAATTTGACAAGTGGAAACTTCTCGTGTCTTCCAAATACGTGTTCATTGAGAGCCAATAGGCCTCGGTACTTGACTTCCGTGTCTTTACCATCAGCCTTCGCATTAATGGTAGGAAGGAAGTCGCCATTTTGGGAACGCAGAGGTTTCGCCTCAATGTTGGCAATGTCGATAAGGCGCTCAATCGCTTCATGTGTGGTGATGAAGTCGACCACTTTGCCGAGTGAGCCATTGACCAGCCTGCCTTGCAAAAGATTCTTTGGAGGTATGGTCAGGCTCAGCAAGTACAGTTATTTCGGGATACTCACTCTAAGAAGCATCACTTGTGCGCCAACCTGAATGTGTAGTGAATTAGGTAATACATTTAGACATATAGCAAGTCGCAACTGACCTTTAGAGATATCTCTCGCTGAGCAACCAGTCTTTCTAACAACCGCTCTGCAGGATCGACCAGTATTCGCTCTCCATACATATTAAAGCCCCTAGACTCCATGGCGGGGTAGGTAAATACTTCCCCGGGTAATACGTCGAGATGCGTCTTATTGCATAAGTCAACCTGGCTCTTTAGTGGAAACCTGTGGATGACAATGACTACTGATACATCATACGGAGTGAGGGAGGCTATAAACGCACAATTGAGTTGGACTTATGCCATCGGAGTATTTGACCTCACGGCTCAACTTGAAGAACTCTTGAACGTGCCAATCTTCCAACTGCCCTGACCTAGTCGCAGATAGCATGTCAATAAACTCTGCATTTCTGTAAGATGTCTGAAAAGCTGCATGGAATCCGAAGTACTCACTAATGTCCTTCTGGCGGAAAACTTTTGTCAGCACAACTGGCTCGTCAACGCATCGAGACCAAGATATTGCATCGAAAGTAAAGGTAGGAGGTATTATCGTCGTGGAATCTTGCTCGGGAACAGGTGGAAGCTGGAAGAAATCACCTGACAGGATAAGCTATTCAACCTGTCAATAACCGAAGGGTAATACAAGGGCAAGAATAACAACTATTTACCTGTATACCCCCAAAAGGGCGATGGTTATCTCGGACAATCCGACCTATCTCTTCCTACCCAATTAATTAGATGAGGATGTAGTGCAGGTATGAAACCATACGAGCTTGTCAAATAAACGGCCGTCCAGCATCGAAAC